GTTGATGTTCATGCTATGATGAGCTCACTTGATCATAATGGGACCGACACCTGCAGCCACGTGTAAGATACTGTTTTCTTCACCTGCAGTGTAATACAGGTGATGACGGCTCGTGAAACTTTCTTCTCAGACATTTCTAGTGTGAAAAATAAAGCTGTTGTAGGCACACTCATGTAGCAGTGCCTTCCTAGTCTGAACACAGCAGACAGAATGAAGTAGCCAGGTCAGAACCATGAATCAGGATTTTGCTGGTAGTCTCAGCTGCTCTTGTGCATGGACTCGGTCTCCCAGTTGTCTCTTATTGCCCACACAGCTATTATCAATGCAGTTTGTCAGATTTGGGAAAGCTATCATTAGCTCTTCCTTTGGATTCATCCAATTGGTTACATGAATTTTTAATCAATAAAAACTGAGAGATAAACAGAAGCAACACATCTGCTACAAGGCAGGCACATGACTTGAGGAAGAATTGATTACTTATAGCCTTATTGGAGGGAAGAAAGGAACGAGAGAGGCACTATAAGCAGCAGACCTGAGAATGAAAACATTATTTAAGAGCTATGTGCCTAGTTATCCTGGTCCCCAAAGGCTAAGATGCAAACAACTGACATGTATAATGCAACTGTTACATTGTAAAGATAAGGCTAACTGATATTCACTAGACTCAAGGAGACAGGAAAGAACATAATACATTTTTTAAATGTTTCCATTAAAAATGACTTAAGTCAAGGCATAAAGAAGTCAGCTCCGGTTACTTGGAAAATTCACTTGTGTGAAATAACTCATTCATTTGCTCCCTGCGGTATTACTGTGCAGGAGGAGATTGTACCAGCGACTCACTCACAGGTGAATGGCTGTCATCTCAAAATCTCCACGGAGGGGAGACAAAAAAGAAGACTTTATTATTTCCCCTAAACATCTGGCCTTTCCAAATATGTCATGAATAATGAGGCCAGCTGTGTAAGGTGTTACAGTGGATTATTACTTTGGCCCAGGGAGAGGAAAAAGACAGTATCTCTGGACACAATAGCAGGTGCAGTCCCATTCCACCTCTCCCGGTTCAGCACCTTCAGGTTCATGTGCTTCCTCTGCCTCGCAGGGTTCTCACCACTGATGTTCCTGGGATGCCTCCTGTCCTTTGAGAGCAGAACAGAAAATGATTCACAAGAGCATCCCACCAACCAATGCAACTTATCTGTCTATTTGAGGACCTGCTGATGCTTTCCCGCCCAAAGATCTATGAGGCAGCATCCCGTGCTCCCATCACCATCGTAGTTCCTGACCCATTAGTTACTCAGTCTAGACATCTTTGTGTATGAAGACTGCTGTGCAGATGCGAAAATCTCTAGCAAGCCCATATCTATCTGCTATTGGAAACAATTAGGAATGGTCTTCAACAATCAAATATAAGAAGAAACACATTGTCCAATGTGCAAGAATTTGCATGGTAACTATAAAACTCCACATGATATGAACGTATCCACAGAGGACTTCTTGAAGATGCTGACTACACCTCATGGTGAGTTTGTAAACCTTCAGTTTCCATGAAGGGCAACAGCAGATGTCCTCCAGGAATATTGCAAAGAAGCCCGTGGTGCCCAGAGAGTCTCCGGCTGCATCCTTAACCTGGAAATGAGAACATCCTGCACAGAGGTGTTTGCATCCATATCTGTAAGCATGGCAACTTTTGGCTCACCTCTTCCCCACTTTTTAAAGGACCTGCTTTGTTTGCTTTCTAGGAGGAAATGGGTCTTAAAGGCAAAATTATTTCAAAGATGCTCCCAGGAAAGAGACAGCAAGGGGCGTCATTTACACCCTAGACTTCTCTGGATAGTATTCTGCAGACCAGCACTAACTATTGACCAATGCACTTGAGTGCAACCTAAGTGGATAATTTTTTTCCATAATTTCAAGTAGAGATGACATTCTTGATTTGAAGCTGTGTTTTTCCTTTCTTACATTGATCTGACGTTTACATTTTGGGAATCTCTCATAGTTGCTAGTCCAACCTGTTAGCAGCATCATTCTCTAGGATGATAGTAGATTTACCAATTCGTCTGCTTTTACCTCTCTCTATCTACCATGTCTAGGGATTGGTAGCATAAAGTCACACTGTTACTTTAAATCATAAGTACCATTACCGTTCTTAATCTTTAGTAATCTGCTCATTAAAATATACTTTTCTAAATCAAAGCTTATTTATTCATTCCTGTGATAGAGAAGCCTAAATTTAAGCCATATATTTGAGATTCTATATTAGCATTTCGGAAGCGCAGCTGTCCAGTGAGCCAAATCCTACCATGTAATCCTATTGGAATTTCAAAGGAAATGTCATTGCAACCTTTATTTCTTACTCTTCCATGCTGAACTAACCAGCAGATTTTTTTTTTTTTTTGCAAAAATGCTGTTTGATCTCACGTTTTATTGAATGCTCCTCTAAGCCTTTAAAACAACTCCCTAACTTCAAGTTAAATGGAGGAAATGTCTAAAAATAAACACCGGTAGCCACCTGCAGATGCAAAATTTCAACTGGCAAACCCTCTAGGTTCTAAAGCTTTTCAAATCTGGGAAACAATGCTGTGAGTTTAAATGTCATTGAGGGAGAGGAAGAAGTGGGAAGAAAAGACAGCAAAGTGAAGTACAGGGCTAGGAGGGAAACAGGAAACTTTCAAGTGGACACAGCTTGTGGGATTTAAAGAGCATCAAGGAAAGGAGAGGGATCATTTACTTCCAGAATTTCCTGGGCCTTTCTTGAGGTTGAATTGTAACTATTGCTTTACATAAAAGGTTGAGGATATGAATGTATCTCCCCATTTTGGAAGGGAACTCTAATTTCTTCAAAACACCCAAAGCCAAAACCTGTTTCTAAAATATCCTCATGCTTAGAGAACTGTATATTAAGAATCAATAGGTGCATTCTTGGGTTTCAAGCATTTATAAAGACATCTAACTTTACCAAATATGTAGAAAATTGCTCTGATGGCTGGAAATAGTTTATTATGAAGTAATTCCAACATTGTCCATGATTTCTGACAAAATTCCCATGGGGACCATGTCTGGGTACTTACCCAATTTCTGTGTTTATATGAAAGGTGAGCTGTGTGAGGAATCTATGTACATTTTAATCTTGTTAATATTACTGTATGTTACTGACACTGTCATTTTCAGTATCTGAGGTCTCTATACAGACAATGTTAAGATGATGTATTAACATATTTATTAGTATAGTAGCTTTGTTAGTATATTTATCAGTATAGTAGGGGCAGGCATACATGTTCTCAGTTGATTCGGAGGTAGACTGTCAAAGCCAAGGCCCTCTCCTAGTCACAAACTCAGCCTCTTGGTGCTATTGAGATAACTAATGCTCCAAATTAGGGAACCATGCGAAGGCCACCACTACCTACATCTCTCCACATTTACACTTTTAATCTTACAGCGATATAATTTATATACTATAAAATCCACTGATTCCTGGTGTAGGATCTAATTTAATGATGAACACCCCTAGAGTTATTGCTTCACCCATGACATAGAATGCTTGGATCATTCCCAAACATTTGTGTGTGTATGTGTGTGTGTCTGTTGCTGTCACTCTTCCATAAATCCCTCGCCAGGGTTGTCACTGACTTAATTCAGTTCCAAGAGGTTAGTTTTATGTGTTCTAGAATTCCATGTAAATGTCAATTATACAGTAAGCATGTTTTTACACATCTGACTTATTTTCCTCAGAGATTTATACATATTTTGTATGTATCAAGGACTGACTCTTGTTATTACTGAGTTGCATTACATGGTTTGAATGTGTCGCACTGTATCTCTTTGCTTCTTGTTAAGCCGTGTGGGTTGTTCCTCATTTGAAGTCATTATGAATAAAATTACTTAGATAAATGCATTACAATGTACATTGATGGATATATGACTTAATTTCTCTCAAGTGAAGACGCAGGAATGATACTGTGAGCCAAAATATCAAGTATCTTTTGAACTTCATAACAAAATGTTCAATTGTTTTCCATTGTGCATAAGTCATTTTACGTACCTAGAGTTGATGCATAGGAATTTCAGTTGCTCTACACCCTTGCCAACACTTGGAACTGCATGTTTAACTTGAGTCCTTTTGGAAATTGTGCATTGTCATCACGTTGTGGTTTAACTTTCATTATGATGATAAAGATATGCAGCATCATTTCACATGCTGATTTCATGTTTATATCTTCTCAGGAATTGTCTATCTACATTCTTGGTTTAGAAGAACTGCGAAAGAACTCTTCATCTTTACTAAAGTGCCAGGTAGGTGCACAGAAACGTTTCTTCCACATTTCATATTTTAGCTTTCTGATGTCCAAGGAAGCACATATTTCTTGTATAGGGTTCTAGCAACAGCATACATAAAACACTGGGCTTTAAGGCCACATCTTGAAGTTAATGATGGCACAAACTGTAATTCCAAAGCGATATGCTTCAGTGTCTTTTTGATGTTGTTCACTTAGAACTGGGGAAGGGGGGACTATATCTGACATTTTAATGCAAATTGCAGAGCACCCAGCACAGGCACATTCCATTTCTATCATCCTTATTCTATTACGAATGAGCAACTTATGTAAAGGTAGAACAGGCATGATCTTGGATCCAGGTCCTGAGACATACTGCGGCATGAAACAAAGATCCTACATCCTGGTACTCCACTTGGAGAGAGAACTATTAAACAACTGAATACTTCCATCTTCACTTTGAGAAACTAGTGCCTTTGCTGAAAGTTATTCTTGTGCATGTCTGTCTTTTATGATGTGCAAAATGAAAACTTTCTGAAGTTAAATGAAGGATTGAGAAAAGAGTTCATTACATGTCTCCTTTATGTATACTCTGTAAATGAAATATTAGGCGTTTGATGTGAATGAACCAACACAGTATTGGATTCTCATTGCTAAAGTTGTGTTGTGCACACGATCCAAATCTTTTACATATTAACGTTGACAAACTGCTACGAGTAACTACTTTACCCTTAACTGACAGGTGTCTCCATGTCACAGTTGGCTCTGGTCGACCAATTGCAAGACACAACAGAGTCACACTGCTTCCCTCGTTCACGGTGATGTCAGAGGAGATATTCATGATCTGGGGAGGAACTGTAAGAAAAGAGAAGGGGTAAAAAACATGTAAGTATTATCCTTTGCATTGAAAAGGCAGTCACTAGAGCACAAGTATTTGTAGGGTATGTTTTTATAATCAAGAGTGCTTTCAGCAATAAATTGCAATTTGTTTCCCTTGCCAAGGAGATAGCTCTTGACAGTATTTGCAGAAGCTCTGTTTGATATCCCATTGTAGCAGGAGGTGTGTTAGAGAGGGTAGAAGAGAAACAGAAGAAAGGCATTCCCACACACTGACAAGAAGGTGAAAGCAGAGTAAGATACCCAGGCCTCCAGGTATTCCTGCCTGTGTGCATGCTCGGTGCTGCTCGGTGCTGCTGGTGAGCACTGGGCTGTGCACCATGGCTGATCCCAGGCTCAGTGGGCTGTACACAGAGCCGGATGCAGTTGCTGCTTCTGTGCCTTTCCCAGTACCTCACGTGGATGCTGGCCACCACTTCATGAGAATCTCAGACTCCTTCAAGGCTTTCGACTGCACAGATGGATCCGACTTGCAATTCATTTCTTTCTTGTTGCTTAAACAGAAAATTCCTACTTCTGCCTTAAAACATATCACTTGTAACTCAGTAAAAATTTCTGACTCCCTGCATCATGTTTCGTTGCTTTTTCCCCAAGCCCAATAAACAACTGACTTTCCTGTTACTATTACAGCCATAAGTTGTACTATGAAATATATTTTTAAAATCATTAACTTATTTTAACTGTAGAGTGACAAAGAGGGGAAGGAAAAAGAGGAGTTTTCCACCCACCTACCTATACACTCCCCAAATGGCTGCAAGGGCTGGGGCTGGTCCAGGCCAAAGCCAACACACAAGAATTACATGCAGACCTCTTGTGTAGTTAGCAGGGGTCCTGACACATGAGGTAACTTCTATTGCCTATCCAAGTACACCAAAAGGAACCCCAATCAGGAAAGAAGGAGTCAGGATGATTGATTACATTCATAACAGTGAGGTAGCTGGGTTTTATATATATGTGGTATATCAATTTTCAATTGTCCGAGCACTCTGAGAAAACACTATTTAGCCCCATATTTATAGCAGAAAAATCCATAATAGAGAAGACTTAAAACAATATAGCTACTCATTAACAAATGCTTGGATTAAGAAATAATAATACACCCACTCCATGGAATAATACACAGCCATTAAAAATAATGACATTCTATCCTTTATAACAAAATGGTCTCAGCCATGTTCAGTGAAATGCCAATCTCCAAATGACAAATTCATATGTTCTCCATGATATAAACTAACCTTCATAAAAAATACAAATCAAGATAATATTTAAGTGAACAAGTAGATACATATATTCTCACAGATGAACTGTATAATGGAGACAGTTATAATAGAGACCAGAAAGTAAAGATTCATTGCAGGAAGCATATCCACTTCTCAATAAAAGGAGAACTCCATGTGAAAAAAAAATTAATTATACCTTGACAAGATGATACTAAATTCTCTAACTTTGTCTATACCTACAATGTCACGATGCACTCAAATAATGGAATGCTGACCTGTAACTGTGAATAAAGAACTATACTACTGTAATAATAGGGGGGGAGCAGAATGGTGGGATGGGAAAAAGAGAAGGGAGAAAAGGAAAGGAAACAGGAGAATCCCTATACCTACAAAACTGAATCATGGAAAATAATAAAAATAATTGAAACATAACAACGACCAAATTGGTACTCCAATATAAGATGCTTATGTTGAACGTGTGGGCTTGGGCAACTCTACCACAATATCCTTCCATGAAATGTGGTTTTGAAATGTATTATATCCTAAGCACTGACTAAGACTGAATCTTCTTAGCGCCAGGATCTTGCACAAAGTAAACACTGTTACTTCTCTGAGCCTTGATTTGAAAAATGCAAACGGCACTATTAGCTTAACTTATCATAGTGTTTATTAATCATTCAGCTGAGTTCTCGGTAACTACTTGCTACTGAGATGGTGGTGATGATGATGATGATGGAGGTAACCATGCTGACCATAGCCACAGTAACAACTTTCACAAGTAACTGCTTTCCTCTCTCGGACCAGGGTCATGTCTATTTCTCTCGAGGATTTCGAAGCTGCACTAACCCCTGGTCTTACTGTCTATTTTATTTCAATTCCAGGCCTTGATTCTGAACTCTTCTCAAAGCTGTATATCAGAGAAATTCCTAGATTCCTTCTCAATTCTTACTCCTAATTGCTTTTATTCTAGTTGATCTTCTCATCAATTTCCACACACAGAAACAATATGAGCTAAACCTTCCACCCATTGTCTTCATCTTGGGTCTTTCCGTATATATCCTACGTGGACCCAAAGTGACCTTTCATCTAATTATCTAATCAAACGACTCCTTTCTTCACTCATTTATCTTGCATAGCCTACCAGGTTTAAGAGACAATCACTTCTATATCCTATCGCCCTCTAAATCTGCAAACCCATTGGCAAGTATCATCTTTCAGTTCCTACTAATAAAACTTGTTGCATATGCTGGTCCTTTCTCTCTGTGGAAGCTTTCAAAAATATAATAGCACAAGTAATTGAGCTCTTCTTTGTCATGTCTTGATTCTACACATGAAAAGTCAGGACTCAACTTTGAAAGGATGCTCCAAAATTCCCACTTTTTTTTTTTGCACTTTTCCTAAGTGTCTCCCAAGATCATGGAAGCAGACCCTACCATCCTTTCTGATACATTTTGTCCACAGCTGCCACAGAGAATAGATTAAGCCTACCAAACAGCAGTTGAATTTCATGCCCATATCGCCACTGAGTGAGGAACTCCTGGAGAAACATGAGGTCACATACATTTTGATTTTCTTGGAGGCAGCAAAAGGCATAATTAATTCCTCATTTACAAAACAGCCAAGAACAGATCAAGTGGATATCTAGCGATGAAAAAGGCAAAGCTTTCTGTGTAAGATTTCAGCCATCTAAACCCTTTTTGTCAGTTTTCTTTTCAATGCTCCAAATAGAAGGAAGGCCAGGAAAGGAAGCTTGCGCTCCCGGGGATTTATTTGCATGGTCAGCTAAATTATGAATTATTAGTTACCGAGCAGGTAGCACACTAGTTGATTTTGAAACATCTTGTATCAGTGACAAAAAAACGGAATGATGGCTGGTGCTTAAATCAGACAATTCTGCAGCCTGGAGTTTAGGCTGCCAAAACTTCACAGGCAGGTTGCTAAAGGATTAGCCGTCAGTAACTGGAGCACACTGCAGCTCTTCAGGGAATCCACATTAGCAAATAAATAAAAATTGCCTACCTTATAAATCTGCCATCTTTCAGATTATTTCTGCATTAAGATTTGGCCTGAAATTTCAGTGTACATATTTTACTCAAATACACCCTGGGAAAAAAGTGTACATTCTAATGACACTGCATTTCTCAGGAGAAAACTGCTTTACCTCTTTTTCAGTATTTTCCAGCTTGTTAAAAAATAGTTCTGGGCTTGGAAATGTCAATACCTTTTTTCCCCGCTTCTATAAAGCAACAAGTTTAGTGTAACTTCGAAAATAGTCTCAAATAATGTGTGCTTGCACTAGAAGTATTGGGCCCTCTGAAGTTTTCTTTCTCTGGACCCCAGAGACTCTGCTGGTGCCTTCCACACAGCAGAAGGAAGCAGAGGCAGGTTTGTGAAGGAGGATTTAGTGCACTACAGCTGTGATCCCTTAGGAAGAAAACAGCAGCACAGTCCCCAGGCTCAGAGCTGTTATTTCCATGCATATTAGAATGTATCTGATACTCTGAGGGCCACTGGATGAAGAGATATTGGTAGAAGTGCCACTGATGCTTCTTATAACTTCTGCATCCCCCTGTTGCTTTGTCAGTGTGAGCCATTAGGAAGTTCTTCCTGGAGTACAGGTCACCACAAATAGGCAGACATTCCACCAGGCCTCAAGTAGTGCCTCAGCATCCTCTGCAGCTCCATGGTGCTCTCTGCTGTTTTTTCAAAGGAGGGATGATCCAATCCATTCCAAAGGCATGAGCAGTCAAAGAGAATCAAGTTCAGAGAAGGATACTGGAGGCCACAGAGTCTTTTGGGTCTTAATCATGATCTCCTTAGAAACCAACACTAATGTATACTTGTGCTTTAAAACTGTTGGCGCCTGTGCTATGTGCCCCTTTCAGACAAAAGCACAGATAATGAAATGTTCTTAATATTAAAAATGAAGACACTGAGGCATAACTGGAGTTCAGTAGGATATGTCACCACGTGTGGAGCATTTCCCACGTTTGACATTTGCTGTTTTCTCTCCCTGTAATGCTCATCACCCCAGTCTTGGCTTACATAATTTTTCATCTTGGTCTCAAGTTGAATGTCAACTCCTCAGAAAAATCATTGCTAATGACCGCAGGTGTGCCCTTCCCCATCTATAGCAAGTCCTCTTGCTATAACTTATCATCATCTTAAATGATGTCTCCATAATATTTACATAGTTTTGTGTCTTCACATTTACTGGTGGGACATTTTTAGAATCCTCTGACCTAATAAACTATACGCTTTATAAAACATTATGCTTTAAGTACTTAGAGCTGTATGATCAGCATATAATATGTGCTTAACAAAATTCACTGAGTCTACTCTGTTTTATTACACACATTATTTGTACTTGTGAGAGAAAAATGAGATAGAAAAGACATTTATTTAAAAAAATAAATCAGTATATTTACTTGACTGGCAAGGAGAGAGAGTGGACATGTACCCCCATCCACCCATTCAATCGTCAAATGCCTGCAATAGCCTGGGCCAGGTAGGGGCAGGAGCATAATGCAGGTCTTCCACATGAGTGGTATGGACCGAACCCTTATGTCCTGCAGCCACCCTCTCTGTTTCCAGGGTCAGCATTGTTGGTAAGCTGTTTTTAATGGCCAGAGTCTGAAAATGAACTCAAGGCATTCTGATGTGAGATGTGGATTTCTTAAGTGCTTGTCTACAATTGGCTCCTAGAAAAGACGTCTGTTTTTTGAAGTTGCAATATTT